TCACACAAGCCAATTATAAATTCAGACTCATAAAAGAGGTCAACACAACAGAACTTAACAACAGTGATAAGCAACAAACAGCAACAACTGCACCAATCAAACAAACTCATTACAGATCTGAAAAACACTGACCAGGGTATATACAGTCATGGAAAAAATGATTCTACCACCCCTGTTTTCTTCAATTTCTTTTTCATTTTAATGCCTGGTGCAACTAAAGATATATTTGTTTGTACAGATATCATGCTAACAACAAAAATAGCTCGTAAGAGTTTAATTTAAGAGCTGATATCTACCCATTTTCCATGGTTTTCTTGATAATTACCAAAATCACTTTACTTCTTACATCAGTAGCTATGGCATTGTTCTGCCAAAAACAGTACTTGTAGGCATTCCATGTTTTCTTTTCTGTCTGTTTTAGTCACATGATAAACACAGGAGTTAATACTTGATGGCATAACCGTTGTTTCTGATGACTACAGCCATGCATCTTGGCTGCTCTCCACCAGCTTCCGACATCGTTCTGCTGTCACAGCAGCCCATTCCTGTTGCATAAATCCAAACAAATTTGCTTTGTTTTTGGGCTTGTGGTTCTCCGTTTAGTGTTTGATGATTTTCCACAGGTTTTCAATTGGCTGTAGATCTGGTGATTGAGTGGGCAGAGGCATGGTTTCAATGTTCTGGTTCTCCATCCAGGCTTTAACTGACCTCGCCATGTGGCCAGGGGCATTGTCTTGTTCGAAAATCCAGTCACTGGAGGCAGGAAAGAGTTTTCCAGCTGATGGAAGAAGTTTTCAAGAGTAGCCCTGTATATGACCTGGTTCATTTGCCCTTCACACAATTGCATTTGCCCTTGTCCACCCAAACTGAAACAAGCCCAGATGGTCACTGATCCACCCCCATGTTTTACTGTAGGGGCAAGACAGTCTGGTCTGTAGGCTTCTCCAGGCTTCCTCCTAACCAGTAAGTTGACTGGAGTGGGTAGCAACTGAACATTGGATTCATCACTGAAGAGAACCTCAGCCCAATCATCAACAGTCCAATCCTTGTGATCCCCAGCAAAGAATAATCGGGCTTTCCTCTGCCTTTCGTTGATGAGGGGCTTCTTCCATGCCCTGTGTGACTTCAGACCAGCTTCAAGAAGTCGGTTTCCAACTGTCCTTGCCAAACAAGTCTCATTTCACAGTACCCACTCCTTTTTAAGGTCCCTGGAGGTCTGATGACGATTCCTGACACAGGAACAGATGAGTACAGGGTCATTTTGTGGGGTAGAAAGACGTTTCCTGCCGCGACCAGCTAGCTGTTTGGTAGCATCATGTCGGGCTTGTTTTTTCTTGGTGTAATGAACGACTGTCTTGGAGAGCTTCAGTTTTTTCGCTACCTGTCTCTCACTCATGCCAATTTCCAGCAGTGGAAGTGTCCCCCCGCCCGCGCCGAATATTCGGATATTTGTCATTAATTGGGCTGCTATTCGGACCAGCCCTAGTTTGTCGCGTATTAATGACGTGTAGGTCGGATAAATGTGACCTGGTGTTTGAGACAGAAGTCGCATGGCAAAAGATCAGATATCTATCAGATTTAGGACCACATATCCAAGTAGCCTGGGTCGCATTTGAAAAAACTGGATCTGTGTTGCTCAGACTGTCATGAAAAGATCAGATACAGGCTGCATATGGGCAAAAAATCTGATTTGGGTGATTTAGCCTGCTGTCTGAACATAGCCAAAAAGAACTGTAAAAAAACAGAAAATAATCATCTCATCAACTTATTAGTACAATCAGATAGTGTGAATAATTCAGTAACATTTTACTAGCCCAATTCTTTAGTCGGAAGCCCAAGAACAAACCAGAGAAATCTTCAGTTCACAGATTTATTTAGGTCACAGGTAAAGTGAGGCAGCACTGGGCTCGAAGTGACAGAGCCCTCGTCAGAGTTCTATCAGAAGGAGCTCCGATATCTGGAAATGATTCATATTTATCTTCTTGGGCTGGACCTGCCCCACACAGATGTTGGACTTGTACGCAACCGAGGTTAACTGGCCAGTTCCTGTGACGTGAACAGGCTAACCACTGTTCACGTGGAAGGTCACTGAAATGTGAACAGAAACTGCTTTGATCGAATACAAAGTGTGTGTGTGTTGTCCAAAAGCCACGTATCTAAAGTAATGAATAGAATAGAGGAGTTTCCGCTGTCTTCCATTATGTGAACCAGTTCTAACCGGCCATGTTATCTTCAAGGACGTGCATTGTGCTCAGTAGAAAAGTGCAAAACAGGATCATAGGTTCAGTGGAGAGATACAGATTCAGAATACATGATAGCTCGAAACATAACTAATTATAACAATGTCAAACGAGAATCTTTACAAGTAATCAAGTAATCAAGTAACAAGTAATCTTTAAATGCAGGATTTAATATTTATTGCAAACTGTTAGCAGGGGAAAAGCAACAACTCTTTATTCATTACTCAATCATTATCAAAACATGATTAAAATGGATCAATTCAGATAAAGTTATAAAACTGAGCTTTTCTCAAGTAGAAGCCTAATAGGTAATTTAGGGAGAGAGAGAGTCAGACAGCTCGGCCTTTGCTGGCCAACTCTGCCCTGTTTAGATCTGAGCCTGGAGGATTCCTCTTCCGATGGTTGAGCAACCCAGTACAGAGTCCTGATCCCCGGACAGAACCCTCCTGAATCAGGGGGAGATGAGAAGTCCCGACTCCGATCAGATCCTTCAGATTCTCATGCCTTTTTATACTGAACACAACTCTCCCCCTCCACATATCTACTGTTGTTACACAGTTTTATCCTTCACACATGCACATGATTACACATTTCTAATAGATGCTTTGCCTTTTAACCCTTACTCATGATGAGTTTATCATTAGCTTAGCATCTCATCACTTGTTTAGTAACAATGAAGAGCATAGTT